GTACTAAATGTAGTTTTGTTGCTTTTAGGAAAAAGGTGTAGTGTTTTTTAGACACTGTATATGTTTTTGATATTATTTGATTTGCAACTTTTTTAACTGAATTTGACTATTTGTTCTATAGGTTGTTTAATTGATATAGTATTGTAATATTGTGAATCAGGTTTGTTAACTTGATTTTAGTTTCTAATTTGTTAGTAAAGTCTTCTCATATGTCTGTTGTTATTTGGTGATAGAGATATATCTTTCTTTTCTTTTTTATAGATCTAGGTATCTTTAGTTGAAAGTTTGTCTTCCAAGTAATAGTAATTATTTTATGATCACTATCAGTAATATCAACTGAGTCAGTAATTAAGGGTGGGGTAAAATCTAAAAGGATTTCAGAATTAACACATATGTCATTGATCTGACTTTGGTTTAAGTCTCTTTGCTATGTTGGTTCTGTTATAACATAGAATTCTAGTAAACTTGTAGATGATAAAGATTGGAGTAATGAAAATAGATTTGCTGATCGCTTGTGTCTGTTGAAGTTGTCATTAAATTTTCCTATTGTAATAGTATGCCAGTTATTGCTTCTTGCTTGAGTTAACCAATTTATGATTGTGTTTTGAGTAGATTTGAGTTGTTTTGGGTGGTTTGAAGGTAGGTATAATGAAATTATACAAAGTTTATTGTTGGCAGAAAGGTGAAAATCAATGCAGATTGCAGTATCTAGAATGGTTTATATGTTGAATATAAAGGGTTGAAGTGAGTTATGAAGCATAATAGCAGTCCTTATGCTGGCTTCACATTGAGAGCTGTTCTTGAGTATGAAGTTTGATATATAAATTTTGTAAAGTGGATTGGAGAGTTCTGCAAACAAAGAATTTTTTAGTTTTGTTTCTGTAATAGAAACAATGTGGTAATTATTTTTAGCACAAAATTCAAGCCATATTTGTAACTTTAGTGAATCATTGAGTTCTTGAGTATTATAAGTAGCAATGTTAAGATGATCTTTAATGTTTATAGTGAAATTGTTTGTAGAAGTATTTGGTAATTTAGTTGAGTTGTTGTTGTCCATTTGGAAGAATTATAAATTCAGTTTTAATTGTATGAAGCTCATTGTTGAGGAGAATAGTTGTTGAAAATATTCCAGTGAGGATCAGATAGGTTGGGAAGTTCAAAGAGTTATAGAAATAAATCTTGAAAAGAGAAGTGATTATGCAGTTATAAGATGATGTCTTCCATCTGTTCATGTGTTGTTATTGGTAGTTGAATAGTTTGAGATTGATCTAATTCTTTTAAAGCTGTTTGAATTTTATTGAGACTTGAAGAAAGGTTTGGTTTAGTATTTTCTTTTCTTGTAGTATTATTGATTGAGATCTATTCTGTAGGCAATTGGTAGAAGAAGTAGTGTGTATGAAGTTGTTTAGCAGTTTTTACTAGAATTTTAGAGCTTGTAATAAGAAATGTTAGATTAAACTTGGTAATCAAAATAGGATCTGTAGATAATTGAGGTTTGTTTGTAAGGTTAACAGTCATATACTCTAGTGGTAGTAAGATGTTAAATTTGTATGTATCTTGTATTTCTGCTAAGAATTCCTTTACCAGGTGATAATCAGTTATAAGAAAACTATAAGTAATAGAAGTCTTGATTTGATATGGTTCTTTTAAAAATGGTTTTTTTTGAATAAAGTAGTTATTTGAAATTTTGTGAAAACTATAATGCTCTCAGAAAAAGTTTATTTAGCATTTGAAATCAGTTGAATCTTTGGGATTGCAAGAAAAGAGGTATCTCACAGCTGAATTGAGATTTTAAGATATTGATGATAAGGGTTCCCAAATAGGTAATAGGTTAAAATAATTAAATGATATATGATCAAAGTCATAATATTTGTGCAGTTTTTGTCTATATTCTGCTAGAAAGGGTAATTCAGATCAGCTTGTTATTAGAAATATTGCACATGTTTCTGTATTTAGATTAGTTGGATTATTAAGAAGAGGGATGATAGGATTAGCAAAGTAGCTGTCATTGAGTTGATCGAAAGTGTAGATTTTATAAAGGGCTAGCACTGTTGTTCATGTAAATTTTTGATCATCAATTGGAAATGGAAAAGGAAGTATTTCTTTTATGTTTTGGTTGATTAGATCTGAAGAAATTGGTAGTGAAATGAGAAATTAAGAGTGTATTTCATTCAGAAGTTTTCATATTTCTTCAAAAGTGAGTATACAAGGAATTTGTGCAAGGTTAAAGCAATAGAATATGTGTCTTGTACATTCATAAGGACTTGTTATAAGAAAATTTAAGTTTCTAATATAATCTAAAGCAAGTTTGATTTTAAGTTTTTTGTGGATTTGGTCTCTATTAACTTTGTGGATCAAAATAGTATTATATAATTTTTTGTATTTTTTAAGAACAATTGGTATAGTGAGTTGAATTCTTTTTGATATTGTAGAGCTGTAACTTTTGTTCTTATAAAAGAATAAAAGAATGCTGTATCTAAATAATTGAATTTTTGGTTAATAATATATAAGATATTATAATTTGGAGAAATAGTTTGAATTTTATAAATAAAGAATTCCAAAAGTTGTTATCTGTTGTTAAGGGCTTCAATTATTTTATTATTGTTTCAAGTTTGAAAATCAAGATTAAGTATTCGTCTTGCAGCAAGGGCTTTAGTTACAGAATTATACCAATCAAAGATTGTGTTGTTTTTTGGTTTTAGTAAATTGGATATTAATGCTTTGCTGTATGATTGCTTGGTGACTTGTTGATAATCTTTAGAAGTATTAGAGATGGTGTTCATGTTGTTGGTATGCATAATTAACATAGAGGTTGATTGAATTGATAGAGTTTCTGTAAGTGTAATTAGTTTGGGGTTTCATGAATTGTTTTCTAGAATAAAACTATTAGGTACAGATGTCGAATATAATAGATTGGGTAATGTGATAATAAGGTTTTAAGGCATGGGAATATTCACTGTTTTGGGTATGTTTGTTTTAATGATTGTAGTGTATAACATTATTTGAGATTTTGTAAGAGGTGAACTGGATTGCTTACTTTTTGTTAAATTTTTTCGATGAGAATAGAGTGTAAAAGAAACAGAAAAGTTAGAGTTGTTAGTTTTATTTTTTTTAAAGGAGAGAAGTTTGTTTCTAGTTCTGCATTTTCTTTAGATCTTTCAATTGGAAGGGCTTGAGATGTAACTGGTGTAACTTGGGTATTCAGTTGAACTAGGACCCTGTAGGGATTTATTTGTAAAGGTAGCAGCACTGAGTCAGTGTTAAGAGAAGTTTTGAAGTCTTGTAGTTTAGTGGTTGGGGTTTTTTGTCTTTTGGCTATGTTGAATAAGTCTTAGATGTTCTGAGAGTTTATTTTCTCTCTTTTTTAAATATCTTTTGTTCTATTTTAATTAATATATTCGATATTTTAGTACTAATTTTGTTTACTTTTTTGTTTTTTCAATGATCTTTAAAATAGATTTGTTGTTTTTGTCATTTGTATAAAATGATGTCATTATGCTTTTTATTAAAAATAAGTCAGATTGCTTGCTTATTGTATTATTTTTTATTCTTAGAAAAAATGTATGTCTTCTTTTTAGTGCTTTATTAATATAAGTCTTATATATTTTAATACTAAATTTATCTTTTAATATTTTTTATTATTATTTTGTTTATTGATAACTGTAACTATGCTTAAAGGAAAATTTAAATGTTGAATTCTGAGATTGTTGTATGTTTTCTTTGTTTGTAATGGTAACCTCTTTATCTCTTTTTTTATCTTTGTTCTGTTATCATTGGTGTGTTTATCTCAAGCTGCTAGTTATAGTCTGTTGAGCTCACACTGAGCCTATTTTGTATATTTAATTGATTTTTTTTACTCACTTATATGTTTTATGCATCAGATTTTTGGTTTCTTAGTAAATTGAAATCTGTGAAAAAGAGTTTTTTTTGTAAATTGCTACTTCGCGATAGTATGTGTGCATGTGTTTTTTTATTATTTGGGTACAAATCAACAATTTTATTTTATTAAAGAGCTATTAATAAAATTACCGTATTTCAATAAAATTTGATGTGAACAACATTATTTAATGCTCAAGGGTCAATTTTCTAAGTACAAACACGTGGTTTCGGTTATATTACAATTATGCTATTATTATCTTATTTAAATAAAAGGTCGGTTTTTGCTTAAATGTGTATGATCATTATCAGAACTGAATGATTTGGCACCGTTCGATTCGTCTCAAAGAGACGAATTGAATGGTGCCAAAATCATCACATTTCACTTGACCACTGTTCATAATACCCATCTCCTTTATAAAAGTACACAAAAGCTTGTTTCACAACTTTGACATCATTTCTCATAGAATCCAAGAAATATAACTAGTTACTGAACGTTCATGAATTTTCTTTTACTAATGAATATATTGTCATTGACAAAGGTATAAAACACATAAAATATATCCACATACAAATTAAATTAGCAAGTCTAATCTCACATGCTTCTCTAGCAATTATAGAAGTATATGAATAATTTGACGGACAGTCAACCGGTATATCATCCATTTCGTTGGTTGTTAATAGAGTATAGAGGGCTATTTTAAAATAAGATAATGTGATCATTTTTTGAGATATAATTTGAGGTGGTGAATATTCAGAAGAGATGGCTTACCTGGTACAAGTAACCAACACCATAATAAGTTTCTGCGGTAGAAATTTTAAGTCACATTTACGTTCCCAATGTATAAAAATAATTTTGCAGGAAAGAATTGTTTACCTATATCTTTCATATATTACATTGTCGATACATAGGCACGTACATCCGAATAAACTTACAACTACAGGATAAATTTGATGAACGTTTAATTTGATATTATCTTTCTTTTTATTATATTATAAAATGAATTGATGTATACCAACTGCAATGGCCATGAGAAGCAGGTACCTGAATTAAAATTTGTTACAATAACAGCAATAAATCGTGAAAATAACAATAATTATCACAAAACGCAAAATGAGAATACCTACAAATATTCAACAAATGGATAATATTTGAATTCACCATTTGTTGCATCAAATAAAGCGATTTTTTCAAATTCTTGAAAAAGGAAAAAAAGTCTTAAGATCACTTTTTTCGATTATGTGAATTATTTCTCGATATGGCTTACCAAGCACAGGGCAAACAAATGTAAGTATAATACATGGTACCAGTAGTATTCCTACACAAGATACTCTGTAGTAGTCAGGAAATTTATGATTAATTTCAGACATTTGGTTCGAATGATCCATTTCTTCAAGCTGGATATATTAATGAATATTATGTATGTACTTTAATTTATAATTGTTTCTTTACAAACACTTGTATTTAACTCTAGCTAAGATGTTATGCAAGATATAACAAAGATCAAGATTTTTCAAAAAACGAATAGACGTGATGGAGTACTTTTCATATTATGGCTTAGCTCAAAAATATATTTTCAACAAATATCCAAACTAAAAGCCCACTTTATTATTTACATTATGCAATTATTTCTGAGCCATCTGTGTATAATTATAAATATTGCGCATATACATATATGAAGAACATTTGTCGTTATCGTCATAAGTTTGACTAAATCTTAGTACCATGTCATACTCTGAGGCTTTTTGTGATTATTGTGATACATCTAAATCGATTTCTTTTGAGGAAACATTACCTAATATAAAGGACATGTTTACTAACTATCCTTAATCTATTTATCATGTTTTTAAATGGTATAAATGGAACATTTATCATATTTATCATATTTATCATAGATGCCTTATAATCCAAAGCTTTGTACTGTGGCTTTATCGATATATTTAGAGTGATCATATTTAATACAAAGCTTCGTAGGGATGAAAGAAAGTACACATATATACAGGTAACAGGCCGATGTTCCGGAAGAAGAGCATACTTTACTTTCTCAAATGAGTGCTGCAAAGTGAAAACCTGGAAATGATATTTAAATTTTCACCGTGAACTTAATCCCTGAACAAATATAATATTATGTATTGGTATTGATGTTCCACGAGTCTAGAGTCTAGTTTCCTTGTGAAGATGAAAAAAGCAAAACACTGATCAATCCTGAACGTATGTAATATCAATTTTCCAGAGGTTAAGTCCGCCACAATGAAAACTTAAATATTCACTTCCAGGTTTTCATTTTGTAGCACTCAAAGATCAAGCCAACTCTTTACATAGAACGTCTATTATTATATAGTGAACTTTTTTCACAGTGAAAACCTTCAATTTAGTATTAAAATCAGTAAAATTATAGATGCATTAATAAGATTACAATTCGACCATTTTGAAAGAACTAAGAACGCTTTTATGAATAGATTTAATATATGCTTTACCAACAAGTCACAATTGTGGTAGAATGCGTAGAAATTTTTAAATGATAATAATTCATAGTGAAACTTTATGCACCATTTAATAAATGGATATATAATTATGGTCCTCGGGTTTAAGCAATTCTTCTGCCTGCTAAGTTTTTTATTTATATGTAAAATAAACTTTGGCTTTTTTTTTTATAAAATAGTCAGAATTTAAATATTCTGTTTTCCCATGCGGTGTTTTTATAATAAGCTCTTTATTAGTACAAAAGAGCATAAGGCATCACAATTTACGTTAAACTAGTACTGTAGTATAAGAATAGGGACCTTGAAGGTAATGGCATATAGATGCTGCCTAAATGGCTAAACAATGTTTAATGTTTACACATAAAATACATTATTGCAGAAACAATAACAATGAATGTCTTTAAACAAGACACTAACAATATGCATTATAATAGCCAGACTACGCTTAATGTTTTCTCAGAAATTTTGAGCAAAGTTATTTTGTTTGTCGAACAATAAACATTTAGATACCTAGTTATTCTAATGGGCTAAAAATCGAATGGAAAAAAAATCGATTTGATCATTGAAAATTCTACATTGAAATTATCATTGTGAGCTACTGATAATAGTGATAGCATTAGTATTGATTACTCACATATAATTTCAATATCCAATATTCAGAGTTTCGGAGTCATAAGGTAGTAGTTTTTTATCTGTAGAACGCAACTATATCATCCCAGATCACATCTTGTTGAGGTTATCTAGGGTCATTATAATGTTTCGCAAAGTCAACCATCCAACATACATGATGACAACCATTTTTTCTCTTTTCTAAACAAGATTGGTTATAATTGATAAATTTATCTTAAAGGTTTTTTGCAAAATGCTAATCTATCTATTTTAAATTTTTATAAACTTGATTTTAAAAAGTAGAAAACTAATTTTATAGGATCATAAAGGAATGGAAAAACACGGCTTTCAAATAACTCTAAAAGGTGAATAAGTTTGGTTTAATTTGGACATTCAAATTTACATTTAATTTTTAAATGTATACTAATCAGATTCATTAGTATATCTCATTTTTGTAATGCTTTGGACTGATAATATACTTTTAACTCATCGAAAATAGTTTGAAGTGATTCTCCGTTTAACACATTGTCCAATTTATGCAATGTCAAGTTGATTCTATGATCAGTTACGCGATTCTTATAGCACAAATCGGAAAAGTCAACATATTAGCAAAAAAAAAATTACAAAAATAGATTACTTATATATGTTACATCCAATGTAGCGATCTGGAGTAGCTACTTTAGATATCTAAAATATCTGAAGTAGATATTCCAAATGCGGCATATATATATATTAAAAGATTACCTGAGCAAAATTGTATGTCCTAATTTTTTCTGATCTGTCACCAGTTCCTACCTGTACAATTAAAAAAATTGATTAAAACGCGTCAACACAAACATGTACTGAAACCAAGAATTAAATTAACTACATGTAACCTGTTGACGTCTTTTCTCACTCCTTTCTTGATGTAATTTGTTACGTTCCTTATCATATAATCTTGCACGTAAAATTTGAAGCGCCTTTGCTTTGTTCTAAACAAGGCAGAAATAATTACATCAATAAATTTCATTGATGATTTAGAGATCGGATGATGCTGAGAATTAGGCATCTTTTTTTCTGAGGGCACATTTTTTTAGATTTATTTTTTAATTTTTTTTTTAGGGTTAGGATAGGGCTGAGTTGTTAATAAGAGTATAAGTGAAGTTTGGTAAGATTTGGTATAATTGAATAAAGACCCCAAAAACTCAGTTTCATCTGTGACAATAAATATTTTCCAATAGTCAAAAATGTATATATTAATGTACTTTTGGTTGTGATCTCTCATCTTGGATCGCAACGACACATCCAGTTGGAATATGTGTTATTCTGACAGCACTAGAAGTTTTGTTTACATGTTGACCCCCTTTACCACTTGCTCGATAATAATCTATACGAAGGTCAGTTTCTCGTATATTTACATCAGCCTAAAAAAGGTATAAAAAAGATTAAAAACAACAATAATATATTATAATATCAACGAATAAGGAATAACAAATACTTCAGTTGGTTGAGGTAATATAGCAACAGTAACTGTACTTGTGTGTACACGACCCGCTTTATCTGTAACAGGAACACGTTGAACACGATGTACACCGGATTCATATCTCAGATTTCCAAATACACCTTGGCCAGAAATTGAAGCCATTGCTTCCTAGATTAGCATTATTGTTGATATAAAAATTGGAAATATATGTGATACCATTAATAAAATATATTATATACTGATCAATTGATTTAGAATACCTATACTGTACAAGATTCGTTGTAAGAAATAAATTTATAATACCTTTATAGCACCAATTGCAGATTCCTCAACAATCGATAATCTCTCAAATTTCCATTTACGCAAAAAAGCATAACGTTCATACATGTTTAATATATCCGCAGCAAATAATGCAGCTTCATTACCTCCTGTGCCTGTTAATTTAAGAATAGATGAAATAAATCATGAAATAATAAATAATAGAAAATTATTATAAGGCTTATAAGGCTAACCAGCACGTATTTCAAGAATAGCATTTCCTTTATCGGCAGAATCCTTTGAAATTAAAGCAGATACGGCTTGAGTTTTTTGGCGAAACCTAGGGGTTTCAACACTGGCTAAAGGCGAAACTAGTTTCGACTTTCGCCAAAAAAGGTTTAAAAAGGCGAAATAACGAAACTGGTGAAAGGTGGCGAAAGGTACGAAACTGGTGAAAGGTGACGAAACTGGCGAAAGGTGACGAAACTGGCGGCAGTTAACAAAACTAGTAAAAGCGGCAAAAATTGTAAAAATAATAAAAAGAAATTGAAGCTCTTTCATGTAATCATCGACTTTCTATTCCTACTTGTTCAGGTTTAAATTGTCATATAATCACGTATGTACGTACTTGATATCACGCATCACTTGCGTATTTGCACCAATGCGCATATTTCCGTAATCAGGATTGTCTATAATCATTAATTGCTTTATTAGTTATTTCACGAGTTAAATGCAATACAAATAATTTTTATGCTTACCTATGAATCAACTAGATCATCTAAAAGAATCCGACTATTTTTATCTGATGAATGTTTTTTTTTGATACATCATTAAATTATCCAAAATTGTGCAATACAGAATTAGATAAAAGTAATGTAATTTCAGTACTAATAATATAAATAAAATAATAGTTCTAACCAATATTTATATTAAAATAATATTAATTGTATATAATGCCGCTTGCGGTTGATTGTTCAATTAACATCAATATAGATTTATATATTTTTTTTTAATTTTATTTTTTTTCTAATCGAATTTTTTGCCGAACAAATGATTGATAATTACAGATCGTCAACTGTAGCGAAAGATTAAGCGAAAGAACTTGCAAGAAACGAGAAATAATAAGCCACTTACTATTTATGCTTGTATAAATTAGACAAATTAACATCAATCGATTAATTAATAAACCACTAAAAGTAAGTAGTGATGTAACTTGCAGGGACCGAACATTACAGAAGCCAACGGTCATCCGTCGATCTTTGCAGAACGATAACACTGGCCTTAGAGAGATGTGGGGGATCCCTAGTGTCTAAGGACCTTCAGGATGTAAAAAAAAGTGGTGATCATTTATGAGTACTGGCACAAAAAATTTGGCGGTCCCATGATTCTTACCCAATCCGATTGCAAGATCTATGTGCAACATACAAATTCGAAGTAAAAATTAATTTTCTGTTATTAAGTAAAAGTTTCAGCACAAAAAATTTAGATATACAGTGTGACTAAGGTGATAGTGCCTATATAAAAGGTTTTTTTTTTTGCTAGCTTCATTGATAGAAGTTGAAGCTTGTACAAACCGAATGTAGGAATATGATGAAATCACGGCTTACAGATAGAAGAAATGACGTACATCTGCAAAATCTAATATTAATAAGTATCTGCGCGATTTGTCAGGAACAAATAAATATAAACTGGATAACTCTGGTTATATCTAGTGATCGGATCAGATGCTTAAATGGTCACATTTCCAGCAATAGCCACTGGATTCATTGGTTAAGTCATGCTCGAGAGCTTGTAGTTTCCAAATCCATGGCTCAAGCTAGAGCCAGGTTTTTAGGAGCAAGCCAAGGACTTGCAAAATCTTTGAAATGATTTAGCAAATGAAATATTTGATTTACTGCTGATTAATAATAAAATACAGATTCAATCACGGTTACGTACTTATCTATAAAAAAATTAATCTAGTAAAAACTTGCATTTTTTAAAAAAAATAATGTTTCATTTAGACAATCGTTATAAATGTGTTGGTTGTTGTGCACAAACTGCTAATAAAGCTTTATGTTCTTGATAATATTATGTTAAAAAATAATTATACATTTTCATATAATCTAATATATTATTATACAGTCGACTCTGATATAACGAATCTCTATACAATGAATTCTGGACATAACGAACTCAAAATTTTAAATTTCAGTATAGAAAGTGTCATGGATTCTTAAACATGGTAATTTTCTATAATAGGCCTTTTTCTTCCAAACTGTTAATTTGTTATAGGAAGAATTGACTATAATTTACTATGTTTGCTGAGCAAAATACTATTTTATGGCAATTTATCATTACTCACTAAACAAAATATTATAATAATTTATTATATTTGCTAAAAATATTATTATAATTATTTAATATATTTGAAAATAGAAGTTTCTGCTTGAAAACTACATACATTCTGTGATTTACTTCAATCACAGCAAATCACAAAATTCACACGTTCTTGGAGCAAGCTATCGACATTATATTATTGAGCTTAGCTTATCTCTAAATAATCGTTGTATCATATCAAATAAATATAAAAAATAAGAAAGTCAAAAAGACCCAAACCTTAACCCTAATGCTGGTAACGAAATTTTTTTAGGGTGGTGATGCTAGGACCTTACTTAAATAAATGCTAAACTTTTTTAGCATTCATTTAAAACAAATATCATTGAACATAGATCAGTCACTTATAAATATCAGTATTATTTTGACAAAATAATTGCTTATTTAATATTAATGATTAAACAAACTTAAACTTAATGCAAATTATGCAGATCTTGTATACTCAATCATATTATGCAACCCTACTAAAATTTTTATACTTTTATTTATTAAGGGTAGGAGGCACATAGATCATTTTTACATAGTAATTTATAATATATGTTACTAATAAAACTTTTTTATTTTTTAATTAATCAATAAAAAAATTTTATAATATTATAAATAAAATTATTTATCTATTATAATAAAATTTTGAAGTATTATATTATTTAAAAAAATATACTTGTATATATAATAAAGTTTACTTAGATGAGTTAAAATTTCCTTAGATAGTACAAAAAATACAGAATTTGATTGGTTAATTTATGTAAATCTATAAGTTAATTTTATTATATGATTTTATATTCTAGTCTTTAAAATTTTATATCTCAATGAATTTTTAATTAATTTTAATAATTTTACTATTATTAGAATTAGAAAAACCTACTTTATAACTTTTATTTAATTATTAAAATTAGGTTACTTAATATAATTTTTTATAAAATTAAATATAAAAAAAATTATTATTAGGTTTAGATATAATTTTAAAGTACCTTCTATTCTTAAAACCTAATTTCTCTTATATTTATACTAATTCATCTTTTATTAAACTACAACAAATTGTAAACTAAAATATTCAATATACTAACTTTATCTTTTATACTGATTAATCTGTTACCAATATTATTACTAATAAATATTCAATAAATATTGAATAAATACAAATATATAATAATATTATTATTAAAATTTATTCTTAAAAGTGTGGCGACTTAGTGAAGTGGATAAGTTGTTATACCCTCAAGTGGTAGGTTGTGAGTTCAAAACCCACTGATGGCGAAATTTGGATAATCACCTATGTAATATATAGACAGTATTATGGCAATGGCATTCTGTCGATCAGTTAGGATAGGATACCTGTAACTATGGTCACACCAGCATAACTGGCAGGTCTGGGGCATCTGTGTAACCTGTTACACAGAGAAATGCAAACTGGTACCAGGCGGTACAAACCTAAAATAAGTCCTTGGGCTGTATAAATCTGTAAAACTAGAAAGCTGGAGCCTACTTGGAAATTCCGAGCAGAGAGATAACATGGATCTTCGATAGTACTACTGTAAAGGCTAAACCTAGGAAATGGATACCAATGTGAAGGATTCGGGCAGGCAAGAACCTTGGGTAAGGGGTATCACCAACCAGACCGCCGGATTTCGGACTAGAGGAAAAGGATATTGGGCCAGCCTCAATATACCAAGGACAGGTTACAGTCCTTCCGGGCTATCTGGATTGGGAGTCTGGATTCAAAGCAGGGGTATACTAAAAGTACTAGGGATATACTGTGAAGTTAGTACTGGAGTCTGGGTGAACTTTGTAAGGGTAGCCCATGTTAGTGTTCTAAAAGTAGGTAGATAGTTAACATTAGGGGGCCCTCTGCACCTTACTGGCAGGTGACATACTCTGAAATGTGTAATGGCCTGAGAACCAGTACAAAAAGGGTAGGTATCATACTGCT